GGGTTGGCTTAATTGGAGTGGGGGGAGAGAGTTTGCTTGCCTAACATCATTTCCAGGACTGCTTTAAATCATTTTAGGTCTCAGAACCTTAAAACAGTTATTCTCCAAAGTCCGCATATAGCAATTCCATGTCCTTAAAATTACGCAGCAATTTTTGTTCATATAGTAGGCAGGGACTTTTTTTTTTCCCTCCTCTGTTCCCCTCTACAGCTTCTCCACCAATAGCACAACTCTGACCTTGCTTCTACAATGATGACAACATTCAGGATTTTTCTGATGCCCAGCAACATTTTAATAAGGCAGGACAGGGCACTCACTACCTGTGACGTTTAGAACAAGAGCAGTCATCTTCATGTACTAAAAAAGCTTAGTAGTAAGAAAGTCAAAGTTAAGTAAGAAAATTGTATTTCAACAATGGTTTAAATAAGGAGATGAGTTGAAAATAAGCATACAGGACAGCATGCCTTTGAGACCCTGAGAGCCACTACCAGGCCTTCAAACCTTACCGTTAATTTTGTCATAAGTATATTTATCCAAAAATACAAGATGAGCTGGTTCTGCACCAGTCTAAGATCGTTTCTATGGAAACAAAACCTTTGGTGAAGTAGGACCCTTGAACTCTTAGTGCCCTCCCCTCCATCTGCCGTTCCTTTTAGCAGTCACTTACAAATCTGCAAAGCTGGATATAAAATTGCAGCAGCTCAAGTCTCACATACTGTTCAAGTGGAAGAAGTTTGAGCTGCACAAGAAGTTGGGGGCTGCTAAGTGGTCACAGCTAGTCATAAATAGATAAAAGAAAAGAAACACATTCAAATTGATAAATGTACAATCCATCAAGCCAGCTCAGAGCATTATGCAGTAATTCTTTAGATAAGAGTGGATGCTTGCGTCCTTGTTCACATCACTTTGCACCAATCCAGAATGGGTTTTTCAGTTCTTTTTAGTGGTGCCCATGCTTATTAGTGCCTGTTCTTTTTGGGTATTTATGCTGAAAGCTGTGGGAGGCAGAGCGTTGGACAGTACAAAGAAAAGTCATGATCTATATGCTTCCCTCTGCTGCGAATGTCACTGATGTCCACACTTTTCTGTTCAGTATCTTATATCACAATGTTCCTTAATTGCAATCTCTGGGCAGCTTTTTAGAGTGCACCAAGTGGCAGGACTAACAGCAGCCATAGGAGGTTTCCCCTCTCTCTGCCAGGGGAAAAATTAAGTGAAGACCAGGACCAGGTGGATGATGCACCCGAAAAGGAAAACTGCTCAGGTTTGAGTCAGGAGTTTCTGCCACTGGCTTGGACCAGCTCCCCAAGAAAGCTGTTGCCTGAATAAACAAGCCTCACCTTGCCTGTAGAAAGGGTCCCCTAATGAGTCTTGGGAGGATTTCTCCATGAATGCCAGGATGCTTGCCAGAGGGCATCTTGCCTGCTGCTGCTTAGAGAGGAAGGACTCTACTAACCCCGGTGGAAGGGGGGCGAAATCTCCAAAGAGGAGTATACCTACTCAGCTCGGGCCTGTAGGCGAGCTGTTAGGAAGGCCAAGGCGGACATGGAGCTCGGACTAGCGTCCGAGATTAAGGATAACAAAAAGTCCTTTTTCAAATATATTGGGAGGATGAAGAAGGTGCCGGGTAATGTGGGACCCCTGCAGGATACGCTGGGCAATTTGGTGGTTGCATCAGAGGAGAAAGCAGACCTCTTTAACCAATTCTTCACCTCCGTTTTCTTGTGCAGGGACCGGGACTTCCCTGCTGTGATAGAAGCCGGACTCGAGGGGAT